TCAAGACGTCGTATCTCGAGGGGGAGGGCAAGACGAGCTACTATGCGCTGCACGACTATGCCAAGGTGAACGGCCAGGGCGGAAAGGAACACAAGGCGTCCATGGACACTCCCTGGCGAACTGAGGTCTTTGACAAGTATGTCGCCTCCAAGGGCCGCCGGACTTACTCGCTCTTCTACGTCTTTGGTCCGGCTCCCCGTGAGCTGTCTTCGCTTTCGAAGCTTCCTTCAACAGCTGCATTCATCTCTTCCGATTCCAAGACCAAGACAACACCAGGCCCTGATGCTGTTGTTGAGTCCTACATCACTACATCAAACTCTCTCACCATTCCTTATCGGCTAGAGGGAAACCCGGATCCTCATGCTCCAACTGTTGCGTTCAGCAACTCCCTGCTGACATCTCTGCACATGTGGGATCCCTTCATTGAGATTCTCAAGCGTGAGAGACCTGATCTTCGCATCCTGCGATACGATACCCGTGGTCGACATTCAGTACCTCAGCCTCCTGTTGCTGCCACCATGGATAACCTTGCCGACGATCTTCTCACGGTGCTCGATGCCCTACGCATCACCAAGCTTGACATTCTGATTGGAGTTTCCATGGGCGGAGCTACCACGCTCAACTTTGCCATCAAATACCCTGAGCGTGTTGGAAAGTTTGTCGCCTGCGATTTCAATGCTACCTCAAGCCCCGCAAACACTCAATCCTGGAAGGATCGCACAGCGATTGCCGAAGAGGACAATGGCAAGGGAATCAACAAGCTTGCTGGGCAAACCGTCTCACGATGGTTCCACCCTGCGACTATGGAGAACAAGACCGAGACTGTCAAGTGGATGACAGACATCGTGGCTACCAACAGCGTTGAGGGCTTCAAGTACAGCTGCACTGCGCTCTGGGACTATGACCTGAAGCCTAAGATGGGAGGCTGCAAGGTGCCTGGGTTGTTCGTCGTGGGCGAAGGAGATGCTAATGGTGCCTTGGTCAAGGCGATGGATGGGTTCAAGGGATTGCTTGGTGATAAGGGAGCCAAACTCAACATTGTCCCCCAAACGGGCCATCTCCCTATGAGTGAGGATCCGCAGGCCTTCTGGGAAGCTGTTAAAGAGTTCGTGTAGATATCATATAGAGTGAAAAAAGAAATTAGAATGGGTTTCCCCCCGATATTTACGCGTGAACTTGCTTGTTCAACAGTTCAGACACTGCGGTCTCGTTACCAGTAGGCCTCTATCTAAACCTCCAAAGACTAAGAGATGGATTGAATTATATCTGTCTAAAAACAGAACTGACGTTAGACAGAACTTCTCATTCTTGAGCGTAGAGTTAACCAAGTACTGCATACTGCGAGGACCGAGATTCATCTAGATGCCCATTATCAACAGACCTTTCGCATACGAACACTCACTCTTTGCCCTTCAAATCATCCAGTGTCTTTTCCTCCAGGCCATACTGTGTATCCAAGTCCTTGCGCAGAGGAATATCCTTCTCAAACAGAGCGAGTAAAAAGGCCAGTCCACCAAATGCCACAGAGATGACATAGACCTTTCGGAGAGCCAGCATGAACACATGACGGATCTGGCCCCTGATGGGTTCCTCGAACTGCATTAAAAATGCCCTGGTTGCGCTGGCATAGGCATCTCCGGAGCTGAGCACCTCCCGGGCTACTTCACTATCGATCATATGCGCGTACTGCTTCGTGTACGAGTTAAACACGGTCCCTGCGATGGCGACGCCCCAGATCGTGCCAAAGGTACGCATAAAACACCATGTCCCCGTCGCTGCGGCCTGGTCGATCTCATCCGCTGAGGCTTGGAAGGCAGGGAGTAGCGTATTGAGCAGGAAACCAGAGCCAATGGCGGGGAGGAACTGGATGAGAATCCATGCTGCATCGGGACTGTCTTCCTTGAGAATCGCGAGGAGGCCTACGCCCAGAGTCATGAGGAAGAAGCCGGCTATGTGTAGCACCCTGTATTTGCCCCATCTGGAGAGCATAAAGGCCGATAGTGCGGCGCCGGGGATGGCGATGAGGGCCACAGGAAGCATTTGCACCCCAGATCGAGAAGGGGTAGACACTTTTACGGCCTGGAAGTATAGAGGTAGAAAGAAGTAGCACCAAAAGATGAGTACCATGTTGAGAAAGGTGTTGACGTAGATGATGCGAGATGTGCGGTGAGGGAACAGCCGGATGGGCATGACGGGTTCAGAAGGGAAACCTGAACCTTCATAGACGACGAATCCGACTAAGCCAAGAATTCCGACGATCAAGGGGACCAAGATACGAGCGTCGGACCAAGGATAGAGTGGGCCAGCCCAGGTGAGTGCTATAAGGATCGAGATGCTCGCCGCCATCAGGATGGCGTTGCCGATATAATCGATTCGACGGAGCTTGGCCATTGTTGACTCTTGACGGTTCCACTGCAAGTTGAGGAAGAGGTAACTGACAACAATGGCAAGGCCCCCGATGGGAAGGTTAAGATAAAACACCTGGGACGTGTTAGCAGAGCCATCTAAAGCATCTGGGGATACTCACCCATCTCCAGGTAGTGTTTTCAACAATGACGCCGCCCAAGAAAGGCCCAACAGCGAACCCAATGGTTGCCACAAGCATAAGCATAGCAATGTAGTTTCCTCTGTATCGCAGGGGCACCAAGTCTGAGATGATGACATCGGCAGCCATGTTTATACCACCGCTGCCGACGCCTTGAACAGCACGGCCGGCGATTAACATGGCGCCTCCATTAGCACCACCAGCAATGCCACTTCCAAAGGTGTACGCTGCAAATATGAAGATCATAACTCTCTTGCGGCCCCAGAGATTGCAGAGCTGGCCGAAGAGAGGCTGGACACAAGCACTGCAGGGTGTTAGGATAATGGGGCTACCTGAAGCACCAGACTCACCTCGTCAGAAAGAAGATATTGGTAACCCAGATATAGCTGCTTCCAAGTTTGAGATTCTCGACAATGGTAGGCAGAGAAGTAATGACGACAGTTGACTCGAGGGATGCGAGGAGAGTGGAAATGACGAGGGTTAGCATGATCATCCAGAACCGGTAGTCTCTATTGAACGCCAAATTGTCGTTTGGAGAATCTGCTGTAGAATCTTGGGCTTCTTCATCGCTTTTTGGTCTAACTGAAAGGCTGCTAGAGTCAGGGGATGTGGTCGTCTGGTTGTCCAAAGGCCCAGAGGGAGCCTTTTCGTCTTTGACTTGGTCAATAGTCATGTCGGTGTAAGGATAGTTTTCTCTAGCATGTCAATGAAAAACGACACCAAAAGCAGTAGTTTCACATCGTCGACCAGCAGATAATTATAAATTGACAAGAACAAGGCATCAAGAGCTTGGTCACCAGGGTGGAGATGACGATCGGAGGATTTAACCTGGTGAGACGACGAAAGCACAACTGCCTGGCCGACCCGGGAACCAAAATGCTTTCCGTAACCGAAACTCCGCAAATCCTTCAGACAAGACACTTGAGATATTACAAGGGTTAAGGTTGCAGCATGTAGCTCTTTTGGTCTACGTAGACCTTGTCAACTCGTTGAATCGTTCCATTCAGTCGGAGGCGGGCTAAATTAACAGATCGGAGGCTTAAGGAGAGGGTACATTAGGGTGGTTTCCCCCAATTTGCGACCTCGCACTCGCATACGTTTATTAGGAAGAATGCTACATCCGATCCCACGGAGGGTTTCCCTCCCGAGTTGCATACAACACCAGCACTCACAAAGTCCCCAGAGAACCTTCACCAACCGATGAACATGGACAAAAAGATGACCTCTGATTGAGAGCATGCTCAACTTACAAGTCTCCTCTCTCCATGCCCAGATAGCAAAAAGGCAACCCAGAGAGAAATCTGACAAGAAACACCAAGCCAACTCATCAACAACCGCAAAAAGAAGCAAAAAAACCAATCGACGTGGGCCTGATTCGAACAGACGCCTCCGAAGAGAATAGATTTCTAGTCTATCGCATTAGACCACTCTGCCACCACGCCTTGTAATTGGATGGTAGAGGTGACTCCAATTACGGACTAGGAATGGTTGCATGCGGGTGGAGTTGTCGACCAACACCTTAGATCCTGGTCTGCTTTGTCCATTCTCGGGGAACTCACAAGTAATTCCCAATATTTCCCTAGAGATCAATACGAAACAAGTTGTTGGGGTGGGTGGTGTAAATGGTTGAGTTGGCAGCAGTCTGTTGCTCAATTTGTGAGAACCAACACTCACCAACACAATACGTGTGAGCATGTGTGTATTAGAAACATTAGGTCAGTATCTCCCCTGACACTAAACCATCTAAATAACTCGAATTCAGCTAAATACTCACCAAAAATCAAGAGAGCCGTTACACATCGAGCCATGGCGGGTTCACCACCAAGAGTAGATCACAAGTCCCGCCATACAGGGTGAACGGGGAACTGCTCTCGGCACTTACATCGCCGCAACCATCGAATTCAGATAATTGCCCATATTTTTGAGGCGCTGGCTTCATCCAAGACCATAATTGCAGCAGAGGTCGCGGATCTTGATTGTTGATATGCCATGGCTTTTCTTATACTCAGGTTCATGGAGAGCGTGGCCTTCGTCCAGGCCCCTCCTTCTTAAAATCCCTCTGCCTGAGCTTCATATGGGTCTAACTTGTAGTATCTCATTGGCCACTCTATTCAATCTGTCCCTCTTATTTGCTTCCAATTTCTGGCGTTGACTTGGTCGGGACTCCTTAATACCCCTCAACTCATAGTCACTAACATGCATTGAGGGCCTCCTTCTCAAAAAAATGTCAAGACTGTGCACAATAAAACAACAAGTGGAGCAAAACGGCGAGACCAAATGATTTAGCTGGCAATTATGGAAAGAGTGACCTGGTCATATTCTCAGCAAGACCACGTACTTTGCAGAGCCAACGCCTCATCTCCGGATTTCTCTTCAAGCACCATTCCGAGTCCTCCACCAGTTGCTTAGCCAATCACCGTATCCATACCAGCAGTCTCAACACTTCAATGCATCCATGGATCCCTTTATATTACTCTCGTTGGAGACCCGGGCTCGCATTCTCATCCTGCTCCGTTCCGAGGATGACATGGGTCGACTGTGCCAGGCATCGCCCGTCATGCTGGAGCATTTTCTTCACTACAAAGCATTTATTTCACGGGAACAGCTATCAACCGATCTCGACAATGACCTCCTCCAAGACGCAATGGCTATCGTTCACTTTCCTACGACCCGTGGGGTCCCTCACGACGAGTACGAGACCGCGGTTACTCTCCACATGGCAAACTGGTCGCGCAGACAATTCACCAATCCGCTCGTGACTGAGGATAGCAGAGACCTTGTTAAACTTGGCGGCCTCTTTCGTCGACTGCACAAGTACATGAGCGACTACATGGCCAAAGCAACATCATCCAGTATCCCGAGAGCATACCTCTGCCTCGACAACGTGTCGAAAGGACGGAGTCAGTCCAGATATACCCATAAGCCGTTCAACTTGAACAGCCTCAACTATGATGAAAAGAAGCGGCTCTTGCAGACGTTTCTAAGGTATGAGCTATTCTACAAGGTGGAACACCCGCGAGTCAAGGCAGAGGGCTTCACGGAGAGAACCAGGTTTCTCGCGGTAAAAGGAGGTAACCGGCTACATAAATGGGAGCTGGAAGGAATACGTTGTGTTCACGAGTATGTTAGGTCTCTATATGGAGCCGTGTTGGCGCACTGTAGCGGCGTCCATCGACCTGAGCCTGAAGCGCAGATTGCCAGCCGAGCAAGCCACTGGCACTTCAACGCCGACCTGTATGGTTCCGACCTCGAGCTCCCTGGGATTTACACTCACCACACGCCAATGCTGGCCGACTTTGGCTTCGAGCTCATCTCGACCTTGATCCATGTGGCGACTCGAGGGGAGAAGGGCCGTCAAAAGGCGATAAAATGGTTCAACTCGTTCGTCAATGAGACTGAACCCACGTTGAAAAGATCAATACCGTTTCCTGGAGGCTTGGCTCTTAATTTCGATCGCCCGCGTACTCGAGAAAAGGACTTTGAAAAGACTCCTGGCGTGTGTCAGAAGCTCTTCGCTGCCATACGAAGTCAAGAGTGGCATGGCTCCGCGTACGAACCCTCGGAAGCGGCCCTCCGTCGATCTGTGTTCCGGCAGAGAGCCTGGTTTCTATTGGATGATTCTCGTCTGTACCCACGACCTCGTCTCTCACATTTCCCTTTGAAGCAACATATGAAGAATCACGGCAGAAAGAAGTCGCTTTGCACCCAGTTCTCGCAAACACGGCTCTGACATTTCCCCTGGTCCGCAAGGCACGGGGAGATGGATACCCCGACCGATCCCATGCCGCACATCCACTTACTCTAGCGCCAAAACCCGGAGCTCCGGCCTTGAATCCATACCGGCCGGCGAGCCTCCACTGGGAAACCTTCCGAGACCGCCCCACAAAAGCCTCCGAACGGACCAAGCCACCGGGACCCATCAATCTCCTCACCTTTCAGCCTCCGTTACCGCGATCTAGCATTCCACTCTTACATACAACAAAGCTAATCACCTCAAACGATGCATCCGTCTCCCCATCCAAACCAGATCCGCTCTGCTTGTGAGCGATGTCGTCGCCAGAAGCTACGATGCGCGCGTCCCGTCGGCCCGTCAGCTTCATGCACGCGCTGCACACGTCTTGATCTGCCATGTCAGCCCGGCCTACAGCGGCGCGTCGGGAGGCCCCCCAAGAAAGACCTTGTGCTAAGGAAACCCTCCGAGGTTACATTGAGCCCGGTGGAATCCCGCAGCCAAAACCACTCTTCAGAGGATATGCAGTTCTTGCAGGGTCTACTCGATGATCCCATGTCTGGCTTCAACTGGAACCTTGACTCGTTTTGCTCCTACGACCCTGAGAATCTACCCTTTCCCATGGAGAATTGGCCTGCCGTGCGTCAACTTGATCCTCCAGGCATTGAGCAGCGGATTATTGTACCGACCAAGCTACACTTTGAGACACTCTCAAAGCTCAACGTGGAGATTCACAAGGGCTGGAACCATGTGACGCACGTCAGGGAAAACACGCCCTTTGATGAATTTATCTGCGATTCCTATGCCTCCATCAGCGGTTATGAAAATCTTCAAATGGTTATGAAATCAGCACAAGAGTTTCTCGTCGTCATCAAAGCGTTGCATCGACAACTCGGTACCCGAACAGTAACCCATCGGGGCCGCACAGCACGTTCAGACTTGACAGCGTTGGTAATGGACCCTGCTCTATCTGGAACAACGTCGCCTTCATCAACTGGGTCGCCTCCTGGTGCAGCTGGCACTACACCTTCTCCTCCTCCTGTCTTTGACTCGCCTACCATGTTCCTCGTCATATCCTGTTACGTCCAGCTCATCAAGCACTTTGAGTTCATCCTCAAGTGTATCTACGACTCTATCAGCGATACAAATCAGGATCTCATCCGGCCTGCTCCAATGGAATACGCTCGTGTCCCTATTGTCGAAGCGTCGACCCAGTTTATTCTCTTTTCCGAGCTCGTACGCCACGTCCTCAGTCAGATCAACATTGTTCTGGGCTTGCCGAGTATCTGGTCGAACCGGAGTGCATGGACTGGCCTGTTGACGTGTCAGAGGTACAGGGACATGGTAAACGTTGAGCTAGGGGCTATGGAAGGGATGTGGACAGCACGACCAGGCAAACTAATAGAGATGACGAGGTTGATCAAGGAGATGTTTGTCGAGTTTTCCATGATGGGCATTGAAGCTGCGTGATGGAAAGGAGTGAAAGATACCAGCAGCGAATTTCCCAAGCATAGCGTAAAATGGAATTCTAATTAGGAGTCATGAGGTCTCGAGAGTCTTTTGTGAATTGGGATAACTCTACTCTTCTAAGAGCGATTTAATACTGATTCCAATCCATCAGTTCGATTCATGCAGCTGCCAATACAGCCGAGGCTGCTTCATCATGAAGAGAAAAAAAGCACGCCGAAATATCCTTAACTCCCATTCCCTTTCCTTTCTTTCCCTGCCAACTCCTCGCAATCATAAAGGCCAAAGCGTTTCAAGGTCATTATAGGGGAATCGAAATCGTAAAGTCAAACTCATTGCTCGCCTCCTCCTGTGCGCCAAAAACAAATGCGAACCCGCGCGTCGCCTCCTGGGGCAGGTTTTGAGGTGGAGTGACGGAAGCCCGTTGGATATTCAGACGTCGACTTCTCGACGGGCTGTGATCTTCCGAGAGTCTTCTCTTGTTGTGTCCCTTCTTGACCGGTGTTATCGGTCCTCTCGTTGTCTCTGCTGGTGGACCGACGGTCCATTCGCAGGCCAGTACACCAAACTGGACCTTTTCGGGGGTTCGGTGCTTGCTGAGTTTGCTGGTTTTTGCGTACTTGACAAACTGCTCTTGCAGCCAGGACTTCATCTCCCAGACTACAGGTCGAACATTCCAGTCATGGTCGTTGACCTCACAGTAGGTCCTGTTTCCGCCCTGAAATGTGCGCGGCTGGGGATTCGCTGTTCCAGAGTCAGCCTCGTTCAGCCACCGTCTGTATTCTGGTGTCACCTACCTCGAGGCTTTGCCCCCAAGTCATTGCCTTCCCTAGTAGGTTGTGATGCAGTGTCGGCTTTTCGTAGGATAAAGTAGTCCACAAAGTAGAATTGCTCGAGGTTGGGAAGATATTGGGCCAAGAACCGGTAAATGTGGTTTGGGTGCTTGACGACATCTGGGGACGGGTGAAGCTGACCGCAATTTGGGCATCGCCGAGGTGTCCGCTGCTCGTTCCACTTGTGGCAGTACCGAACCGCAACTTTTCGAATCTGATCGAGGCCCTCGCAGTGAAGCGATCTGAAGAAGCGGAAACCACTCTCAAAAACATCAGGCGGAACATACTCGAGGTAGATGACGTCCGAAGAGCAGCCCAAGCTGATGATGCGACCGTTGTCCAGGCGGAATGTGTCGGATCGACCTGCAAGGCTCTTTGCAATAGCAGCAGCCTCGTTGCAGGTGACTGACAGTTTGGCAAGTTGTTGATGCAGGCTGGTGTAGTAGGAAATGTCGGCTTGGCGAGTAGGATAAAGCGGTCTCAGCGAGCCATACTGTACCGAAATCGGCCGTGACTCCCTCTTCACCTCGAGCGCAACGGGGTCAGCATTCTCATCGTCGTCGTCCTCGATGAGATCATGAGGAGAAGAAAAGTCTCTAATCCACCACCTCCCACGACCAGAAGATGGCTCATACTCGGTGTCGACCTTGAGGAAGTGCATCCCGGGCGTCGTCAAAGTAGCTTCCCATATCTGATGGCGGAGCTCCGGTGGAAGACGGGGGAAAGGTGAAAACGTGCGGCAGTTGTCGGGTATCTCGAACTTGATGGGAGGTTCCTCCATTCTCTCCGAAGCGACCTCTGCATCCGCCGGTGAAGAGGCGGGAATCTGAAACGCGATGCCGTGCTGGGCGTCGTTATCACGGTCGGTCGTCGCCATGATATGACGTGGGGCACGAGCGTTATCGGTATCTCGTGATCATGAATGAGGGGGACAAAACGAAAGAGACGCAACAGCAGGAGCAGTTGGGGGTGAGGCGACCGAGGATCCAGAGAGCGAGGGAGGACCTGAAGATACAGAGAATGGATGGAGTTGGAGGTTAAAAGGCAAAAAGAGAGTTGAGGTCGGAGAAGGTAAACGACCCCGAAAGCCTCCCGGCGTGCATGTATGGCGGGGAAGCTCGCAGGCAGCGGGGTCAACAGTGGCTGTGTGCCTAAGGAAGGTGCCCTGGAAGGACAAGCTTGAGCCGCCAAACAGGCAGCTCAGCGCCACGATAGCCACTATCCGCCTGGGCTGGGCTGAATGGAGGACGTTCACAGGGCTACGTGATTCAGGCACAATATTGATGATTTGCTAACGGAATATCCTTGCAATAGCTTCATTTTACATGAGATTTCTCGGCTCAGTAAATCTATATCCGTTATTAATCCGAAAGCGATGTGAGAGTTTCGAATAACCCTTGTGAATTGCTTCCCAGGCAGCCACGTTTGCCCAAGAATCCCAACATACCGATCAGCAGACTGGGACGCACCTAAGAAGTATGCTCATAATGATGATGATAATTAGGATGAGATTACTCTGAGTTTTACATAAGGATCTTTACATTACTCCCAAGTTTTTAAATTTAGTCCTTATTTTCTGACATGTCTTCCGAATCCCGGGCAAAGAATGGTCAAGTTGCCTCAATCTTAGACCGCCTCCCTGCATCGGGTAGCCACGTCGACGCATCCACCTACCAATTCTTAAATCACGTCTTGCCACGAAGACAAATGAGTTGTTGTATAATTGATTTAGCCTTTGATCGAACATGATACCCAGAGCAGATGTGACGTAGGCACCTAACTTATTTGCGACTAACTTTACAACGCTTCAAGGACTGGAAGTGACGACTGGCGGCTTTCATTCGTTAGCTCCCCACCAGTTTCCAGCTCATGAGTGTTTTAGCGGGTTGAAATTGACGGATGCGATCGTTCTGTTAATGAGTTTGGAGATCAAATCTAGCTCGTCAGGTGAGTGGTCATTGGATCCTTCATGAAGAATGTTATTGCTTCCAGGAACTTGGCGCCAGTTGGTCACCTCAAGGATGACCCAGATCGAGATGCTAGTCTCTATCCCTAAGCCACACTATGGCTCCTCTTAGGAACCTGAGGCCTCGTCATGGTCGGAGTAGGTGGAACTAGGCGATAATTCTTCTGGAACTTCCTAGAATAGATCGAACCTAGTCATGAATGCGAGCATGCGCATTGAAGAGCACCTGAAAGTGGGATGCCGACATCCTGGAGCGGAGCTGCAACTCATTTGAGCAGTCTGAACTCTCTCTATGTTCGGGGCTGGTTGAAGTAAGCTGGAGTTGGCAATGGCTGCCGCAAAGGTTCTCAAGATGCCATGTTAAAAGAGCCGAAAGGTCATGGGTTTCGCAAAGGTGGACGGCGCGAGAGATAGGTCAAAGGTCAAGTGTGATGCCATGAATTCGGTCAAGTTTAAAGGACTATTGGTCGGCACAAATCCGAAGATGATATGGTGATGGGATTGGGCTAAATAGTCTCGGTGGGTGATATTGTAGCTAGCCATCTATCTCAATTGAGAGCTAAACCCTCGAATCAGGTACCAACCGACGTCAGAAACTTTCATATGGAAATGAATAAAGTACTAATCACGGGCTCAAGGGAGCTTTTGTGCTCAATTAATCTCGCAAATTACACGATCAAGACATTGCGGATCGGTTGGCTTGACATGTGACTCGGCGATTTCGTGGGGAGAGCGTACTGCTCCTCTGTCGCAGAGAACAAGCCTCCAAGGCCCTGCCTCCTCGCATCCAACCCTGGAGAAATACGTCAATCAACCCAACCATATTTCCCTAATTGTAAACTATTTATATTAATCTTTCTTCTTCCATTCCCGGCTAGTTCAGCCCAGAGTGCCCTCTACTTGATTATCAGCCTGTCCAACATAAATTACCACGCCGCATCGCATTTTCTCACTTCGTCACTCAGCCTTGAACATCCCACGAGAGCACAGTAACACAAAAGCCTCCATTTGCAACGTGGAATGCGCAAGTAAAGACTTCACTCGCCTGGAGTGCGCCGACACATTTGCCAATCAATTCGGATGCTTCCTCGCCACAGTATTCCCATGCTCATCCCCAGCAACTGCACCTCAAAGGCCTGGCCACGAACTCTGGTCCAAGCGGAAGAACCATTTGACTTGATGTCGATTAGTTTAGAGCGCCGAGAGGCATCCCAACGTAAGAATCACAACAGACTACCTAACCACAGTCTTGATAGACATTGAAAGAGGCTTTCAAACAATTATACCTTGCCTTAGACATCCTTCAATATACTCTAGGGTTACTCTTAGATGGCTAAGATGAAGAGATGCTTAAGGTCCCCCAAAAGTTGCCCAGTACTTGTGCTGGAAAAGTTGCCTCATCTCAGTTCCAAGATCGTCCTCTCCTCCCGCACTCAACCTGGTCCCAATGCCATGTAACCCTGTCCGAGACTCATTTTTCAGGCCAGACGAAGAACTCAGGGCCTGATCCAATGCATGAAAGTAGACAATACTACATTCACACTGTGCTTCAAGCAAGCCGGAATGCCCATCGAGAAAAGAGGGAACCCCGTTTAACAACTACACCAACAATTGACTCAGGCAAAACCCGCGTCTGTGAGAAAAGGCAACCAAGCGCCGATCATCGTGTTCAGCTTTCCTCCCAAGATGGTTGCATCCAACTCAAGATGCTGACTCTTGCGCTTGCGCAGTGCCGCGCGGCAGTCGCTTACTGCATTCAACACAAGGCGGACTCGACGCCGAAAAAAAATCCCATGATTGGACGTCTCTGCCGCCAAAGGATTCCTTGTGAGAGCCCTCCCAAAGGATACCGACGTCATCAGCAACAGTCTAAACTCTGCACATTCAACAGGGGGCATTTCCATGATTGAGTTAGTGTTGCGTTGGAGGCCGCGTGCACCCAACCTTTATCTGGCATATCGTCATTCTCCCGAAAGAGGCCGCGGTCTAGACTTGCCGATCAGGGTCTTTGATCTGAGTTTGTGAGGTAATTCAATCTAGATGATCAATCTAGGGTCTCTTGGCCGTTGTTGTCACTATTATTATTGGCCAACGTTGTTGATTGAGGGTATTCAACTCCGTCTCACAACCTCGAGTCCTTGACAACTCGGTCCCACCGCGAGAATGCACCGTGCGTATTCCGGGACTCGAGATGAGACAAACCATGAACCAATATTCGACACATCAACATGGCTTCATCCGGCGAAGCCCAAAATCGTTAGAAAGTGACATCATTCCTCTCTATTGTAGAATACCATCGTTAAAGTGGTTGAAAGGAGAAGGGCATTTTTCTGAATCGGCTGTCAAAAGTCAGCCTAGCGGACCCCCAGACACGAGCCGCCCCGTCGGTTGCAAGCCTGTGACGTCATTCAAGACCCTGATTCGTATCCTTCCCACACCACCCATGAGGCATACCGAACGGTGCAACTGCGTCCTCCGGGTCTAGAACGCATGATCGTCTCTGAGCGTTAGGGGGGCATGCGGCTGAATGTGAGCTTGTTGGGAAAGGGCGAACACCTGTGTAGCTCCGATGTCATTGCTCTGGAGAAGTAGGGCTGTCAGCTCTCACTTTTTTAAAAGAGGGCTAGGTCCTCCGAATGGCTTCGTTTTTTGGGTCTTATTTTCCTCATCGCTCTAGGCATTACACTTATTTCTCTTTATTTCCTCCTCTGGAATCCCTAAGACGGGATCTTCACTGATCTCCCCTTTCCGGGATTTCGGTTTTCAGGGTCCTTTCTTCAACGGTACCACTCAGCCAATCACCGCTCTCGCCCGCTACGGGATCAACACGCCGCGACCTTGTATCCTGGGTTTTGCACTTGTACCCGTCGCTGTATTCAATGGAAGCACCCTTTTCTGTTGAGCTGGTCGTACAAAAGCCCTCGATACCATGGCGTCCAATACATCATCTACGGATGCTGTGTATTATTTGAACCTTGCAGAGTAAGATGCCCGCCAAGACTTCCACAAGCAGCTCACCACTAACACGCATCCGCCAGAACCACAAGCTCGAATAACTCCTCAACCAATTGCAATAATGGAAATGCTGTTACCCTTCCGGTAACCGTCCCGGAAGATCGCCAGTATAGCCTCAGCCGTTACCTCGCTCGATCGGACCAGTTCGCCCCAGACCACCCCGAGTATCGTCTCCGCGCCCCAGTGGCCTTTAAGCCTCAGGTCAGCAATCGAGAGAGCCGACGACAGAACAAGCGACGCATGGAAGCCATCCTGCGCGCCGTCGAAGCCAAGCTCAATTCCTCTGGATGACGCCTTTTGTCTTTGATCTTTTACGGATTAACGATACGATACATGTCTACCTACCTGTGGTAAGTAACCCAGCTTCTCCGTCCGAACCATTACTAATTATTCCAAGGCTGCTCCTCTAGACTCAGCGGACAACATCTATTGCCGCATCAACGTTCACATCAATCCTTCATGAATTTCAAGATCCTCGCTCCTTATGACATCTCACACTCGACCATCAGCGTCGATTTGAGTTTACGATCGCCCCAAGCTAGCACCCACAGTGGGCTCCATCCACTAAAAGCCTGCGCCAATAGCAACCTGGTCAGCAGCCTGATTTGGCAATGGCCTCTGGTAGATGGTCCAGGAGTGTTCCTTGGGGTGAGGCTCATCTATTCTCATTTGTCTCTTTATACAAGGGTTTCCTATCATTGGAGCCGTCCTGTCCTTTCTTCACTACTTGTGGTTCTGGGTGGCTGGCAAGCCATGGTGTTGTTCAGCACAGTCTTTTCGGCAGCCTCGTTAACGTGCTGCTTGTTTTCTAGAGTCGGGTCGATTTCGCGGATGGATGGTTTCGGCAGCTTTACTCTTTGTCACTCTCTGTTATACCCGCCTCCCTCATTCAAAAGGCGCTTCCTTTGTCTACTCTCGCCGTCCATCTTCCGTCCTCGCGAACTGTGCCCTGCCGACTCGGAACGGCCAAAGTGGGGCCACTGCCCGATCGACCCCCGGTGACTTGAACATTATGCCCGACGTGTCCTCCTCATCCTTGAAGATTGATGGTAAGCCTCGTTATGACTCGAAGGAACTCATCCAGCCCGTCCAACCAGTATTCTCGTTGTTTTCGGCGCCAACACTTACTTCCATGATGTATTTCGGCGTTAACAAGACTTGTCCAGACCTGACGCCATCACGGCCCCACAAAACCGGGTTGGCTGACGCCAGCATCACGACTTACACCAAATGTTGCTGGCGTCAGCTAGAAACCATGAGTTTATCCACGACGATCGAGTTTCGGACTTTAGAAATGAGGACAAGTATAAAGATTTCATGTCCTGCTCGCTTCAAAATGACAATCAACATCTCAACACACTACAATCTCATCCTCATTCAATCGTAACTCCATCTTTTACCCATCTCGATCTCATCCCATCCAAAGCAATAGCTTCAACTCCAAAACCAGTCACAATGGCCCCTTACACCCCCGAAACTCCCATCAGCGAGCTCATCGCCGACTACGCCTCCATCATCAAGGGCAAAACGATCCTCACCACTGGCGTAACCCTCAAGGGTCTCGGCGCAACCTTTGTCGAGGCCACCGCCACCGCATCCCCCGGCCTCCTCATCCTGGCCGGCCGCACCGCCTCCAAGCTTGAGGACCTCTCCAAGAGCCTCGCCGCAGCTCACCCAAACATCAAGACCCGCCACCTCATCGTCGACCTGACCTCCATGGACTCGGTTCGCAAGGCTGCTGAGGAGGTCAATGGATGGGATGACGTTCCCAAGATTGACGTCGTTGTTAATAATGCGGCTGTCATGGCTATTCCTTATTCTGTGACGGCGGATGGCTTTGAGACGCAGTTTGCTGCTGGTCATCTTGGACACTTTCTCTTGACCAACCTCATCATGGAAAAGATCCTCGCGTCCGAGTCTCCTCGCGTCGTCAATATCTCTAGCAACGGCCACAGCTTCAGTCCCGTCCGCCACTACGATCCTCACTTTAGCGCAAGTCACCCCCCACAACCATCACCTAGAATGTAGCTGACTCAAAATAGAAGGAGGGAGAGACGTATAACATGTGGGCGGCTTACGGACAAACAAAGACAGCCAACATGCTCTTCTCTCTGTCCCTGGCCCAGAAGCTGGGAAGTAGAGGTCTTCAGTCGTACAGTGTGGACCCAGGTTTGATCATGACTACTAACCTGGGAACCCACCTGGACTTTTCATCCCCAGACAAGGATCTGGCAAGTCTCTGTAAGTCTTTTTACCTAGGCCTACAGAAGACAAATGCTAACCAGCATTGCAGTGCAAGCCCATCGCGAGCGCGGCCACCTCGAGGGCTGGGAGTTCTTTGCGCCCATCCCTGTAGAGGTTGGAGCAGCCACGCACGCCTTTGCTGCATTCGACCCCAATATCAAGGGTTAGTGACGTTCCTTCCGACCAACTTGACCCTGTACTAACTCTCAATAGCGAGCAACGGTGCTCACCTCCTCAAGTCCCGCGTCTCTGACCCTTACGTCGACACTGTCAAGTCCTGGGCGAGGGATATTGTCGAGGCGGACAAGACGTGGAAGCTTAGCGAGGAGCTTGTCAAGCAAAAGTTTAGCTACTGAGAATGTCGATAGAGGGAACTGATTTGGCACGCAAACTTGGGTATTTGAGAGATCCGCTCATTTATAGATAGAATCAGCATGAGGAGTAATTGACCATTGAGATATACAACACATATATGACATGAATCAAATTGAAGAGATGATATTTCCAAGTCTATAATCGCTACTTTTGTCCCTGAGATATACGTGGGTATCCACCTCTAATCCAAAACGCCAAAGTCAAAACCCCTTCCCTACCCAGACCAGGAAACGTATATATACATCAACTCATCAACTCATCTCTCATGCCATAGTGGCTCCCCACTCTTGCATCACCGTCGGGTTCTGCACAGCCTTGCCCGTCTGTCCACTCAGCCACGCCCGGCAAGCTTCAAGGTGAGCATACTGCTCCGTGTCTTGTCCGCCCAGACTCTTCATCTTAATGTCGGCCACGTCCAAAACACTCCGGCCTGCCGCATCCCGAGCATGAACCGAAGCGCCGTCTTCAACGAGTTGCTTCACCGCGAGCTTCCGACCGCAGCGGACAGCGACGTGTAGTGCCGTCTCACCAGACCGGTTGCGCGCGTTGATGTCAGCACCAGCTTCCACGAGCTTGTGCAAAATCTTGCCTCCGACCTTGTAATCGTCGTCCTCTGGTAGCTGTGCGGCGAATGCCATAAGCGGAGTATATCCGTGAATATCGTAGTGGTTCGGGTCGGCGTGCACATCAAGGAGACCTTCCAAAAGGTTCAAACGCAGGGTGTATCGCTCAGTGCAAGAATCCAGGTCCTTGGGTGCTCTGTCCTTCCTCCGTGGGCGATCGCTAGGCTCGCCCTGCTCATCTAGACCATGCTTGTGGAGGACGCTGGATGTGCTAAGTGTCGCTGCGGCGAGACAGTGCAATCCATTGCGACCTTCTGAATCCTCCAGATGAGAATCGAGAGAGGCTTTGTTGATAAACTTGAGCAGCTGAGCCTCTTGTGTAATAGGGTTAACATGGTACGGCTCAGCAGTGTCATCATCTTCAGGTATAGACGCCGGTACCGGAGGGTCGAGATCCATCGCTTGGGTGTAAGCCCTGTTGAATCTAAACGTAGGCTCAGGTGGAAGAGCAAACGTGGGCGTCACATTGAAGGCGTCTCGCTTGGTGCAATTGTCACTCTGACAGATCCGAAGGAAAAAGTTGCGCAGCTCAGGAGAGACATCCCTAGCGAGGAGGATGTGCGAAAAGGAACGTCCATAGTGATCGCGGGCGCCAAAGTTAAAGTTTCTCTGAGCCAAATTGCCCAGCAGCTCACACAGCAACTTCTCGTTGTCGAACCAGTTGCGGTGGAGGACATGCAGAAGGGTCTGGCCAGCCGTGTTTTGTGCGTTGAGAATGTGAGGGCTCGGGTTCAGCAGAAGAGCCTGGAAAAGGTAGTCCTGCAAGATCAATCCTCGTGCCGCCATGAAATGAAGAATCGTGTTGCCAAAGGGATCGCGATCCTCAACTTTCATACCGTCTTTGCTGTACTGGAGCATTCTGTGGACGTCGTTGGATACCCCGCGCACCGTCACCCAGGCCGGCTCTTGAATCTGTTTGTTAGGGAGACACAAACATGACTTTCTGATGTGCTGCTCCGTCTCTTCAAAGCATGGGGGCTGCTGTCCGAAAAGCTCATCGAGAAGTAAAAAGTCGCCAGGGAGATGATCAGGGCCATTGGGTAGAGGCGGCGGTGAGTCGGAGTCGTTCATCCAGGTTGAATGAGAAGGCTCGTCATCAGAAATAGGTGAAAGACTCGCTCCTCGATGATTGACAGGCGCTGTGTATCTCTTGACGAGCCTCTTAACACTCTTAACATATGCATCAGAATAATCGTTGAGCAGACGGTGCAAGGTCCCGGTGGTGCAGTCAGTGGATGCGGACATGAAACTTGTGCTTCGGAGAAATCGCTGAAAAACACCATCATTGTTCTGTTGCTGATTCGGCGCCGCCCTAGCCTGCTGAAGAGGAACAGATCTATTCGGCGTATGTTGTTGAGTAGGAAATTGGTTGAAAGGAGGAACCTCGAGTGTAGGACTAATGCCATTGTTCCTCATGAGATGCGGCGTGGGGTTCGGGTTAAGCGAGGGTATCGAGTTGTTAGGCATGCGAGCCTGCGAAACGATCGAGTTCCAACTAGAAGTTGTACGAGTGGGTGATAGTGCAAGCTCGTCCAATCGTCGACTCATATCCTCCTCGTTTCGCGGATGCAACCATCGAGGCTGCTTGTTGAGCAACGAATTGAGCTTCTTGTTGGCGGATTCAATACTATGACGTCTCATCAGCACCGAGTCACGCAAAGCTAAAGAAGGCGGGGAGGCAAACACACCCAGGAACAGGATCGGGGGACTTGGCATGGACTACAGCCATGATCTTGTCAAGCGAGAGAGTCGTGTAGAGGTAAAGTCGCGACACCTTTCTCTGCGAAGAAGACGTCCATAGCTGCGGTCGTCCAGTCGTGGTGTTGTTGGAGCCGCTGGGCGAGGCAGACGACACTGGGGGTCTGAGACCCGAAGGCGATGCCCCGCCAAAGTTCATCGTGTCGGTGATGGGTACTGTACTGCACTGTAGATGCAAGGCAGATGCTTTTGGGAGGGGAGAGCTGTTTGCTGATCAGTTGAAATGAATCGCAGCCTCGTGTGGATTTAATGTCAAGAAGCAGACAAGGCGCCCATTATGCAGTCATCAGGGAAGCACACAAGTTTATAAGGCGGCGTCCTCATTGAAAATGGGGTCGAAAAAGATGGTCGCAGGGGGGAGAAACGGGAAGCTAGGGATAACCGTGATGGCAGTGAGTAGATAGATAAAAAAGAGATGGCCAACACCAAAAGACCGTCTTTTCCCACTCTGGCCCCCAAAACAGGCCAGGGTGGGCATGATATCCTTCCCGGAAAGGGGGTGCACACCACCATCTCAGCTTGCGGTTTGTCCGTACCTACCTAGGCAGAGCAGCAGTGGAATGGAACTGAGTTGGAGGTGGCATGCGGATGCCCGCCTGTGGAGGTTTGAAGCTGCTGCGCCTCGTGATCGCAACGCACAGGAGGCCTACAGTACTAGGCGAGAGTCATGGCCAGCCAATGCTCGTTGTGAGACAAGATGCTGCACAACTGGATAATGGTGCAGCAGCCATTAGGGTTCAACAAGGTAGAAGCAAGAAATGCCGTGTGCCGGACGCTTTGACTGGGTTGATCAAGATTCATCTGATTCATCTGGCGACGCCTTGCTCTGTAACCGGCTCTGTCTTATGCTGTGTGCTGCAAGTTTGACAGCGGCTATTCCAGCCCACAGCGTTAACCGCCCAGCTACTGCACCATTACCTCTCAATCACACTCTAGTCAACCCTTTTCCCTCCAAAACCACTCAATCAAAGACTCGATCCCTTTTTACTCAAAACTACCCTCAATCACATCATTAACCACCTTTTCTTCAGCCCAGGAGGGAGCTCACATCGCTTGTCCGGCACACAGGCACAGGTGGGGGAATGCCAAACCGAGGCGCAGAGGGGCTGTGCAAAGATGTGGCTGACCATCAGCCCAGGCACAACATGTCGCTGCGCCTCGCGAGGCACAGAACTAGGTTGGATTTTCTAGGTTGTGATCTGAACCAATCCCTCTGCTGCCTCTTTTCTCTTATGCGAGCCCTGGACTATTGTCTCAATAGTTCACAAAAGGTCCGTCGGACAACAAAAGACAGGTTTCTCCTTACCGACGGTGTCAATGCGAGATCTCTCAGCCCCGCGCTCTCAGACGAGGAACAGCCGCGGGGTTAACAGTGAACCTCTTGGTTCTAGACTCGAATTCCCAAGACATGAAGCCACATGAGAATATCCAAAGCCTAGTTCACATTAATCAGATATTTTGTCCAAGAAATCATCCAGTGCCTACCTCAGCCTGCCCATTCCGGCATCTTCAGCTTTAGTTGTGAGCACTTGAACCCACATGCACGTCATTGGCCCTTGCATCCACAATCAGCCACTTTCCTGTAAAACACTCCGCCAACGTCCTCGTGCTCCCTCGACCGCTTTTGTGATCCAGATTGTACTCGGTGGCAACAAAGAACAGCGCCAATTAACTCATCGATTGAGAAAAGAGGATTCTTTAAGGCGGTGTGAACCGTTGCAACTCTAGAACATCTCATCTCAAGGCGAGAAAAAGCACGACGCCATCGACGACACCACGTGAAGACCAAGACATAGACCCGGAGGAGGTACGTACCTCCGATATTATGTCATTGTCCGAATGCCGGCCTTGCCCTTGCATCCCGTCCGTGTGCCGGCGGACTTCCGCGACATCGGATCGGGGAACGGAGAGGCGAGACATTTCAGCTGATTTCCACATGTGCGTCCCTAGTGCCGGTGCTGTTTCTCTTTGTTTGTGATCGGTCTGCCAATCAAAGCTTGCTCTTCCGAGCTTTCCGGTTATTGTCCCTGCAGCCTTCAAGCCTCCCAATCTCGATCACCAACCTCAAGTTGAAACATATACCATCACCAGAAACTTCAACTCAATCTTTACAACGACCCAGCATCTCTCTCCTCTTCTCTTCACCGACAATTAACCCTCACCGCAACAAAAGCCACATACCCCATCGTAGACGCCCCTAATCTTCCAGAACCCCCTTCCCGCATTCCAGTCCATCTCAACGGCCCTCTCCCCTTTTTTTACTTTCGTTTCTTTGACTTCCCGAGAACTTTCCAGCAGCCCGGATCAAACGGTCCCCATTCCCACACCCCTTTGTTCTAGCGCGTTTCAAAAAATTGCAAGGCCTTCTATCCCGTATCGAGCAATGTTTCCTTTACCCACCTGCCCACATTGGAAATGAAGAGGGAATAGAGTTTGGAACCAGAACGAAATCCCACCTGGGGCTCCATAGCAGCCACAAGGAACCTGGGAACAAAGGGCCAGTGGATCTAATTCAACGTCCCATGACAGCTTGACGTTAATACAACCCCAAATACAAGGCACTTGCTACGTTCAGGGACACTCAGAAACCTCAAAGTCACATCAGAAACACATCAAAGCTAGACAGATATGAAATTGGTATCTTTCAACAGTTAAGAAAAATACACAGTATTAACCAGAACTCGTAACCATTCTACACTATAGGCAGGGCCAAAGTCGTCTAATTCATACTATGTACATAGTGAAGCGTATTATGTTGGTAAGAATTAACAGCCAAGGAAAGTTTTTCCGAGATGCATTTACAGAAGGACGGCAAAGACACCGATGGCAGCGACGGCCATGGAGACACCAGCGCGGCCAGCACCGGCGGTGACGGGGGTGATGGGAGCCTCACCAGTCTCGGTGGGCTGGCTGTAGGGGAGAGTGGCAGAGGGCTGACCCTTGGAAGGCTCCTCAGGGCAGTTCTCACCACCTGGGCAGACGGGCTTGGCGGGAGTAGACTCCTCAGGCTTGGAGGGAGTCTCATAGCCAGGCTTAGCAGGAGTAGACTCCTCAGGCTTGGAAGGAGTCTCGTAGCCAGGCTTGGAGGGAGTCTCGGGAGTCTCAGGGGTCTCAGGAGTCTCGGGGGTCTCATAGCCAGGCTTGGAAGGCTGCTCGTGGCCGGGCTTCTCACCACCGGGAACAATGACAGTGGTGTAAGAAGGAATCTCAGCAGTGCCAGTGGGGTAGCAGGTGGTGGTGACCTTGCCGGGGTAGCAGTCCTCATCATCACCGACACACTTGGTGATAGTGTAGGTCTGGGTCTTGTAGAGGGTGGTAGGGCCCTTGGGAGGAGAGTAGACGGTAGGCTTGGCGGGGTGCTCCTCGGTCACGGGGCAAACGGTGGTAGAGACAGGGACAGTCTCAGTAGTGACATAAGGACCGTTGGGGCAGTCAGTGACGTAAGAGGGGCACTTGGTGACGGTGTAGACCCTGGTGCTGTAGATGGTCTTGGTGGTGTACTTCTCAGGGGGAGAGTAAGCAGTGGGCTTGGCAGGGTGCTCCTCAGTGATGGGGCAGACGGTGGTAGAGACGGGGTAGGTCTTGGTGGTGGTGTAAGGACCGTTGGGACCGTTGGGGCAGTCAGTGACATAGGCAGGGCACTTGGTAAGAGTGTAAACCTTGGTGCTGTAGATGGTCTTGGTGGTGTACTGCTCCTCGACGGGGCAGACGGTGGTGGAAACAGCAATGGTCTCAGTGGTGGTGTAAGGACCGTGAGGACCGTTGGGGCAGTCAGTGACGTAGGCGGGGCACTTGGTGTAGGTGTGAGTCTGAGTGGTGTAGATGGTCTTGGTGGTGTAAGGAGGCTCGTAGGGGGTAGTCTGGGCCTTGGTGGGCTTGGACTCAGTCTCAGTGGTGCAAGTGGTAGTGGTGTGGCCCTTTCCAGTCTCAGTGGTCTTGCCAGTCTCAGTACCAGTGGGCTCAGTAGCAGTACCGGTAGGCTCAGTGGCAGTTCCAGTGGGCTCAGTAGCGGTGCCAGTAGGCTCGGTACCGGTCTCAGTGGAAGCAGTGCCAGTAGGCTCAGTACCGGTCTCAGTGGAAGCAGTGCCAGTAGGCTCAGTAGCAGTGCCGGTGGGCTCGGTGCCGGTCTCGGTAGAGGCGGTCTCGGTGCCAGTAGGCTCAGTGGCGGTACCAGTGGGCTCGGTGGCAGTCTCAGTACCAGTGGAGGCGGTCTCAGTACCGGTAGGCTCGGTAGCGGTCTCGGTGCCAGTGGAAGCAGTCTCAGTGCCGGTAGGCTCAGTAGCGGTCTCGGTACCGGTGGAAGCGGTCTCGGTGCCAGTGGGCTCAGTAGCAGTCTCAGTGCCGGTAGAGGCAGTCTCAGTACCGGTAGGCTCAGTAGCAGTCTCGGTGCCAGTGGAAGCAGTCTCAGTTCCGGTGGGCTCAGTGGCAGTCTCGGTACCGGTGGAAGCGGTCTCAGTGCCAGTGGGCTCGGTGGCAGTCTCGGTACCAGTAGAGGCAGTCTCAGTGCCAGTCTCGGTAGAGGCAGTCTCAGTGCCGGTGGGGACGGTAGCAGTCTCAGTGCCAGTAGAGGCGGTCTCAGTGCCAGTCTCGGTAGAGGCAGTCTCAGTACCGGTAGGCTCAGTGGCGGTCTCGGTAGAGGCGGTCTCGGTGCCAGTAGGCTCAGTGGCGGTACCAGTGGGGACGGTAGCAGTCTCAGTGCCAGTAGAGGCGGTCTCAGTGCCAGTCTCGGTAGAGGCAGTCTCAGTGCCGGTGGGGACGGTAGCAGTCTCAGTGCCAGTAGAGGCGGTCTCAGTGCCAGTCTCGGTAGAGGCAGTCTCAGTACCGGTAGGCTCAGTGGCGGTCTCGGTACCGGTGCTCTGAGAAGCAGTCTCGGAGGTGGAAGCGGAACCGGAGGCAGTCTCGGTGGTGGAGACGGACTCGGTCACGGAGGCAGTGGCAGAGGTGGTGGCGGTCTGAGTGGGAGCGGTGGAGGTCTGAGAGGTGCGGCAGTCGCAAGCGTAGACAGCATCAACCTGGCTGTCGCAAGCACCGTTCAGGATGGAGAGATCGGCACCGGGCTGCTCAAGGCTGGCGCAGAACTCAACGGCGGACTCGCCAAGACCAACAACAGCGACGACACACTTGTCAGAGTAGTCGCAGTCGCAGTCCTCAGTAGCGGTGCTGGTAGGAGCAGTCTCAGTGGTGGAGGCAGATCCAGTGACGGGGCCGGTGGTGGAAGCAGTCTCAGTGGTGGAAGCAGAGCCGGAGGCAGTCTCGGTGGTGGAAGCAGAGCCGGAGGCAGTCTCGGTGGTGGAAGCAGAGCCGGAGGCAGTCTCGGTGGTGGAAGCAGAGGCAGTCTCGGAGGTGGAGGCGGAGGCGGTCTCGGAGGTAGAAGCGGAAGCAGTCTCGGTGGTGGAGGCGGAGGCAGTCTCGGAAGTAGACTGGCTCACGGAGACGGTGCTAGAGGCAGTCTCGGAGGCGGAGGTTGTGCTGGCAGTCTCCTGGGGAACGCAGTCGCAGGCGTTGATGGCATCCTGTCGGCTGTGGCAGACGTCCGAGACGGGGGAGAGATCGCAGGTGGGGACCTCGATCGAGACACAGAACTCGGCGCGGTTGGCGAGGTGCTTGACGCGGAGGTAGCACTCATCGGTGAAATCGCAGACGCAGTCCTCGGGGTTCTTGAGGAGGGCGCTGGCCACCGAGGCGGCCGCAGCCAGAATGTACACGCTCTTCATGTTTATAAACAACAGTAAATGCAGGATATGTATTAACGAATGGCTGCGGAATGTACTCGCAAGAGTCACTTATAATCCGCCAAGTGCTGGTGAAGAGGGATATCGAGAAAGGAAGGTAAGGAAAACTGTTCTAGTAGGTTGGATATGGCTGCTTATATGGACAGCGGATGGGACGAGATGACCTCCGCTTGGAGATGCGCCCCTGTCTGCCTCTTGATCCGCTGCTGCTCATCCACTCTGCAGCCCTCTCGGGCGTGCGTTGTCGGGCATGGGTCATGATGCCTGGTGGTGTCCAAGATGCAGCGCCTAGGAGAGTGTTAGCCTGGTACGCTATCGATCGAGCCAGCCACGCCCAGAGCGATGGCTCTAAACCCCAATGGGACAATAGGAGAGCTGTAAATAAACCGGTCTGTGCCGTGAGGCCGGACAGAACCGCCCATCGCAACGGTTGTTGTTGTTGGCTTGGCTGTTGGTGCTGTGGTGGTGGAAGAAGTGAAAGGAAGCGCTGGTGGGTCGAGAGAAAAAGGACGTAGCCACTTGGCGCATGCTCGTTTAGCTCCCCACCCCCTGGCCCCCTGACTAGTCAATTAGCCCGCTTACCTATTCGGGCAGTAAGCGGGATCATCTAGCGGGGTTACTGGTCGCCTAGAAGCCGCCCAGCGAGACCAGCGCAGCATGGCACCCGCCGAGGCTGCAGCGGGCTTGCTGGGATTACCGGTCACTAGAGCGTGAATAGTCTCGCTCTCGCCTGCGGTGCAGTCTTCCGCTACTGTTTATCCATCGAGCATCCGGCGTCAACAAGACAGGAGAGTCGATCTTGACTGGTGAGTTGGTTCTAGACGGGGCGCTCTAGCAGGTTGTCGGTTGCCGCACCAAGTCGAGCCCGTCGCTGTGCTAGCTCCATACGGGCATCGGCAACTCTTGATCAGGTCCCACCTCAGCTGGGCTGCTGCTCTGTGGAGTTTTCTCAAGCTTATCTCTCTTGTGTCCTCTGTGCGAGTTCATCCTTGCTCAGTAGTCAGGGCCAGAGCCAATCTACTCCGGACTGCCCTGCCCTGCGGAAGGTCGGCAATCCCAGTGTGCTGCTGGGGTCCTGTCTTCAGTCGCACAATGCCAACAGATCCAGACGCTCCAATGTGCACATCTCAATCTCCGGTTTACGGTCCCGACGTATTCCCCATCAGAGAAGATTCTCTGGCCCGTATCTATGATTATCTTTTGTTCTAGGCTCCTTTTACTTGCGTAGGGCTCCGGTTATTTTTAGAGATACCCTCTCTTCGGGAGTTTTTTCTGGCGGTTTGGTTTGCAGCTTGATGGAGATTCGGGAGATTAAACGGGGACGGCAAATAAGTGGATGAGATGCCTCTTCGAGAGACATCTGCAGAACAAAGAGTTCACGAAGCGTAAACTAACATGGCGATGGAGACGTTTCTTCTCGGATCTCGCGGCTTTCCGTTCTTGAAACAGACAATGATCGTCGTCTTGCATCTTGAATGAATCACATCTACATCGATCGTCGTCGATGTCCGAGAGTCTTTGACATCGTCAGCTAGTTGTCTAGTGCCGGTCTTTTCCTTGATTTACAATGGAGACGTCAAAGAAGATGAGATCTCCCTCACGTCGACCTTGACGCCTCCAAGAGATGGTTCACGCCGCCAACGACTTCTGTGACGTACTGGGGTCCAGTGTTGAGGGACTCTTTGAGCCTTGTCTTTGTTACATCCATTCGCCCTGTTTTCCCCTCGTACCCGCATCTTGAGGATGTTTAAAGTTCATTCCTTTGACCGTTGGTCGTCTGTCATCCTTACGAAGCATATTCATCTTGCTCATTGGTTCAACATCTCGTGTTTCTCAGCGGCATTCCACTTCGGTACCTGCATCAAGCATGTGGTCAAGTCTTCACCTTGGACACCGCCATTGGACAACCCTCTGCAAACCCGCATTCACCTCGTAAAGCGTAATTAAAGCGGCCGTGTCTCGCCCTCTTTTCTTTGGCCAATGACAGACTCAGATTTCTTCGGGTTCCTGCGTCGCCGGGCTGACACACGATTGACATGGCTTGCGGAGAACGCCTCAACAACGGGACGCGAAAAAAAAAAAGGGGACCGCAAATGATAATGCCCAATTGAAAATGGAGAGCGTCATCATAAGAGGGGAAATCTTTCATGGTGTGTGAATACGTGTGCCTCTAGCCAAGAAAAGAGAGGCTTAACGGGCAGAAAAGAAGGGGGGAAATTAACACAGGGGTATGAGAAGTCAATCGCCACGAAAAAAAACGGCAGCTGATGGGCCCGAGAAAATGGTCAAACGAGCGTGGCTTGCGCTACAAAGAAAATCAAACCCAATGCCATTCGCCTTGCAATTTTGGAACAATCGCGCTGTGGCGTCCTTCTAAAGCATTGGGCCCATCCACCCGGGCTGAGCCAATCCTTCTTCTTGTTCCCCCACTGGCTGTGCAAAGGAGTCATCACCTCATGGCCGGGCTCCAACGGCTCCAGCGCCTGCGTCTGGGAGATGAACCACGGATGCTGCCTTTCCGCCCTTTTACGGGAGACGGGTCTTTCTGTATGTCTTCAGGGGTAAAAGGGGTTTATCGGGTTTGACAGAGAAGCTAGCGATTGAAGTTTGTTGATGTCCGCAAGCTACCCGGGAGACGAACAACAATAACATCATGGCCTGTCAATTGTTGTGCTGACAGCCAAGCAAAGTAAACTCTCTTAACAGACATCGATTATGATCCTCCCGCTCGCTCTATAATGCCGCAATCTACAGGGCACCCTCGTTCACAACCAACGTTTTTCTCAGATAAAATAAAAAATGCAACTGTCACGTTGTATCTCCCCCGCCTGCTCCCAGTCCGAAACGTGTGAACAACCTTTGATGCCTCCACAGCCTTCGGAGTTTTGCCCAGGCTGTGTCTTTTTGACCTCAGATCCTTCGTAAACAAGTGCTCTCATTGGAGGTTCGAGGTCCTCTTCTCCATCGTGCTGCTGTTATCCCTGCCCCTGATCACTGCCTTTCTCGTTCTTGGCCGAGAGGATCGCAAAATGCTAGGGCAGAGAGACTCCAATGCCCTGGCTCGCCAGGCTCGTGCCGGCTGTGGCTCGATTCTCAAACAAGCTAACAGAGGATAAAAAATGACAGGGACCTGACAGCAACACGACAAACGGGATGTTACCTTCAGGTCCCCTCAGCCTCCAAAAAAGCCCATTCACCACAGCCACCAACGCAACGTCGAAAATGCCGTGTTACCCATTCTCCTCAACTGAAATTGATTCAGCGAACCCCAAGCCACTCCCACTTGGTCTCTCCTCTCCCGTTCCGAGACAAGACATTGATTAAGAACGGATCACTGCATCCAAGACACGGCATGGCCCAACTCGCACATGGGGGACAATCCTTGCCTTGTCCCGCCATGGGGCCGGGCTCCTCTATTGACTCACTAACTCGCAATTTATCTAATTTATCAATTCTTTTTATTCTCTAGTCCACTTTTTTGTTTCTTGCTCTTCTCTGCCTTTCTGCCAATGTCATCTCCTCCACCGTAGACGGTCTTGTTAGCGCATCTCGAACGTCGATAGTTCCATGCAGGCTTATCACTCTTCATCCGCGCCCGGCCATGTTTGCCGCCCGTCTCTGGGCTTTCCCTCTCCTGGAGACTCGTATGTCTTTGATTACCCAACTGGACGACAGACGCGTCCATCGTCTACCCCATTTTACAGAGGTCAACAACGTCCGAGTGTTTGCAGGCCATGATATCATCTAGTTGTAAACTATTGGGCTTCTACTGCCAATGCCTTTTCAGCCCCGACCATACAGGCCTGGCATCCTCTCGGCCCAAAGAAGCACCGCTCTCTGCATCGTGCTCCTCTTTCCCCTTGCAAGACGCATGCACTCAATAGCCCACAACCCGGGGCTGAGAGCAATGGCAGACGGCCGCTCCTTGACAACATCAGCCCATGATTGTCATCGCCGACCATCAAAGGCAAAGCAAGATCTGTGCCTGGACTCTTTCGCCCTGTCCTTGCCACAACTGGAGCCGGACCTGGAGCTTTCTCGCCGGCGCGTCCTCTCCCCTGTCACTTCTCTGTTGATCCCCCTGGCCCATCGCCAGCTTCACCCCTGTTGCCTGCCTGCCCGCTGACTTGCTCGCCGATGATCCCCGTCCGCTTAATCATCTCCCCTCACGGTCAAGTGGTTGTGGGACAGGCTGGCAAATCTCTGTTTCCTCCTCCCACCATGTTGGTCCAGGCCCGGCCTGGGCCGAGCTGAAGACAAGGATTGGTTCCCCTACGAGCTGAGCTATTGATCTTGGTTTTGATAGTTCTCAAGGCTACTGTTTTGGGCGCGCTTGCCTCTAGCTACAATCTCCTCTTCCTTTCCCAGCCATTTCTTTAGGTTAATGCGCACCCGAAATGCTGGTGGCAGCACTACTTTGGGAAAGCGGAAATGATGCCATGAGATTAGAGTTTTCGTAAAAGGAGTTGATGGTGGGAGAGTGACAGCTTCTTTGCCATGGACTTCTTAATGTGGGTGGTGATGCCAATAATAAAGAAGCTCTCTAGCCCATGACAGCCCGAGAATTGCTGTTTCACCTGTCGGTGGCACTACAGTTTAACAATGCCAGATCTTGTCGTCTAAAAGCGTGTGTATCTTTTCTTTATCTATTGACTATCATTGCCGATCTAGGAGCGCCCAGGAAATCCTCTGGTGGTTCTGTGCTATTGTTACACGCAAATGTGTTGGCCCTGGGCTGCGCAACACTGTCGTTGGTTTCTGGACACCACCCAGGAAACGAGCCAAGAATGAAACAAAAAGAGTAAAACGCCGTCCAACGCCTAGCTATCCCGTCTTTCAAGCAAGTTTATTCTTCGTCCTTGACCTTGTCGTCATCCTTCTCCACAGGTTTCTCTTCAGGCTTCTCTTCTGGTTCCTCGGTCTTCTCCTCTGCCTCGGCTTCCTTCTCTGGCTCTTGGACCTCGGTCTCCTTGGCGTCGTCAAACTGGTTGACGAGCACGTAGCGGAATCGAGGCTTGCCATCCTCCATATCGACAATGGCCTGGTTGGCATCGGACATGGGACGCTTCTCAACCCATGGAACGATGTGCTTGTCGGCGGCGAGCTGGAAGAGCTCCTCAATCTCCTTGGGACTGCCGATCAGAGATCCGGCCAGCCTGCGTCGTGCGGGTACGAGCGCCCACGCACTCACGGGGATGGGCTCTTCCGGAATGCCCACCTGCACAAGTGTGCCGTCGAGGCCGAGCATGTCAAAGTACTCTTGCAGGGGCATCTGCGAGAGGATCATGTTAGCCATGTGGTTCTGCAAGCACAGAAGAGATTGGGCCGTGGTAATGGGTTGCGGCAAGCTCGGCATGCGCGGTGTAAGCAATGCTGTTGGTCATTGCTGTGCTGCACGCCTTGACGCAGGTCCTCATGCATGATGAATCACAGGAACTGGAAATGGCAACGTACCTTTGGTGATGAGACAGTGCAGATGATGAGGTCGAGGGTTCCAGCGTGCTTCTGAGACCAGTTCTCATCTTCGGCAGTTGCGATATACTCATCGGCTCCCAGTGCCAGGGCTTCTTCCCTCTTGTCTGATCGTCGAGAGATACCGATGACCTTGTCAGCGCCCATGGCCTTGGCGATGAGAACGGCAAAGTGACCGAGACCACCGACACCGACAACACCAACCCTCCTTCCGGGACCAGCGCCGAAGACCTTGAGCGGGGAGTAGACGGTGACACCGCCACAAAGCATCGGCGCCGCATGCTCTGGGAGCAGACCGTCGGGAATCTTGATGACAAAGTGTGAGGGACTTCGGTGGTACAGGGCATATCCTCCGTAAGCCTTGCCGCCATTTCGGTACGTCGTGTTGTATGTCAGGTGCATATCATGGCAGTAGTTCTCGAGGTGAGTCTCGCAGGCCTGGCAAGGTCCATCGCGGGATTGGCACGAGTCCGTCTGGGCACCGACACCGACCAAGTCTCCGACCTTGATGTTTCCCTCCGCCTCGGATCCGACTCGAACTGCGACACCGACGATTTCGTGGCCAACGACGCAGGGGAAGTCGGTTGGGCCCTGCTAACGGTTAGTATGTGATGTATCAGGGAGTCCCCGAGGGAAACGCACCCAGCCAGCTCGGAGCGTGTGGATGTCTGAGCCGCAGATGCCCGAGTGGGTAATTCTGATATCGACATCTGTCTCTTCCCAAGGCTTGGGCTCGTACTCCTTCCAGACCATGTGGCCTTCAGCTGCTCTTGGGTCTTCACCCATCCAGCCTTCAAACTTGTAATCAGTCGCCATGTTGATGTTTCTCAGGGGTCTCCTTGTATGGAAGTTGTGTGCAGCGTATTTGCTGTGAGTGTATCCAGTCTTGGTTGTTGATGTCGGATTGTCTGGTTCTTCCATTTCTCGTCTTGGGCATCATGTCTCCTTTATATATCTCCTTTCCTAATCTCCTCCGAACCCTCCACCTCTATTTCCAGCCCATTTGGCAGACCACTAACTCCTGGAAACTGGATCGACTCCCCTTGCCCGTATCGCATCGCAACCGCCCAACCGGCAACGGACCGGTCTCCCGATCATGATACTGTTAAAACATTGCAACTCCACTCGTCGATATGGCCCCTTCACCTTGCTCACCTCACACCACACCATGTGGGACCAGAGCCCCGGCAGAGCCTCCGTTTGCTGGCTCCCGCCGGGATGTGATCCACCGCGGTAAGGAGCCTCGAGGTGAGGGTAACGTCAGCCGCCGATAGGACGTCTCGGTGAGCTCGTGGGGGTTCGATGGGTTATCGGCCGGTTGTCATTCGGTCGACGTTGATTGTGGACCAGGGGTCAGATAGGGTTTCCATACTTTCTAGAAGGTGGCTTGCGGCCGTTGGAATGCTGAGGCTCAAGTGCCGGTGCTATGTCTCAGAAGGTTTGGAGGCTTCTGTAGTTTCCGCTTGAGGCTCTGCCATGACTCGTAGACGTCTTGGAAGACGACTCTCGACAGCATTGATTCTCCATCACCAACATCAGCCTACGATAGTCGAGACCGAGATAATAATCCATCAGTTGCATGTCCTGCCAGCTCATGGGCAGTTTTGGGAAACCCATGTCTCGGTAACTGTCCGATAGTTTTGTCCCATACGGAGAGGCCCCCGTTCCAAACGTTCCTGCGGTGATCCGCTTCTCTCGGCTTGAGGTGAGACGGTGCCGAAGCCATTCGCAGACCGGGTCTTTGGGCCGTGGAGTCGAGAACGGGCCGCGGTGAGGCATCAAGAGCTCAAGCATGGGGGTACTGAGGGACACCGCCCTGGACCTCACCTTTGGAGTGAGTCGATGGGCAGGTATATGAGTCGGTGAATCCCGTGATTCTCGGGCAAGTAATCTTCTTTCACCGACGACCTTCTCGGCGCTTCCGCATGAGAAAAGGATGATCTGCAGCCAGCCCTATCTAGGGGAGGCGAATGTCAGTAAGACTTCTCTCCCTTGTTCGACAACGTGGTTTGAGGTTCCAGAATAGGAGGAACTGCGCATTTACCGGGACCGGATTCGTCGGGCCTCACAGGCCACCGCCCCTTGACGATGGAGCATGAAGATGGCCCACGAAGATAAGCATTGTCGCGTGATTCTGAATTTTGCGTGCTTTGGTGTAGGGTAAGCGTTTGAGATGGAGGAGGTTGCATTTTCTGGAGGCAATTGGATCGGTCACATTGTTATAGACTGGAGGCGAGATCTAGCGCCAACTGGGCTTGGTATGGGCTATTTCTCCTTGGTCAATTGATGCATCTATCTGTTTGTTGTTGCGTTCTCATCTGTTGCGATATCATCAACCACCCCACACGTTGGGCATTGCTCAATCAAGTACCATAGACGATAGTAGTATTAAAATTGTAACAAGAACAGGCCAACTCGGGCCGCCAGCAAATCATATACTCCCAACCAGGCCCGTGAAGAGAGGTCCGTGTAAGGCATGGGCATCTAGGTGAAGCCGGGAACCGAGAAGCAGGGACCACGGCCTCAAGGGTCACTCACCGATCAAGCAGAAAAGAGGTCGACGGCGTAGCCTTCCGGTTCTTTTTCGTCGTATAGAAGAGGAAGCTGGGAGATCGGATCAACTCGGAATACAGTCCGGTGTAGGGCTTTGGCGTTGATGTCGTTGAAGTTGGTGATGTTGAGGCCATGGGCAAGCATCGTGACATCACGTGATACACATGAAGGGAGAGAGACGGTGGCATGTTTGGATTTTGTTGGTTCTTTTGATGGGCAGACTATCATGGAACCGAAAACTTCCCTGTCAGAGCCCAATTTGTCCCTGAAATCCTCAGCCTCCTTAGAAAGCAGACTTTTCACGGCAAAATGCGCAGACTGTCCTCTGTGATGGTTGCACACTACAAGTTGGCTGCCTCACAAGCTGAGCTCTGCGGCTGACAACCTACCCTCCTCCCTCGTGTTCAGTCAGGTACTGCACATACTTGGTTGGTCTGAAAATCTCAGCCGAAACACTAGACAAAAGGCTTTGCTGTTTATTTCTACTTTTTCTCGCCTCATTTTTGAGGGAGGGAGATTGATCGTCCGTCATGTGTGAGACGTGCCTCCATGGTGACCGTCATGAAGTTGTGGCTGTTATCACGGCTGTGGAGATGGCCTGAGACAAGACCATCTACACGGCCACACTCTTCATTTCACTCTTTCAAGTCTTCTTCCCTGATTCTTGAGGCCCTCACCTGAAGCTCTTACGACTAGAAATGCAAGCATCGTCTGGATCAAGGTGTGGATTGGTTTTATGAGCCACAATTGATTGTTTCCTTGCTTCCTGTCGTGATCGCAAACCCCCTGGCATCGTGGCGCAGAAGGGTACCCGGCAAAGGCATGCCAAGGGACTTTGGACCCAGGTACAGTAGCACAGAAAGGCCAAGCCAAAGTCCAAAAAACCCTCGGCCGAGTATCCGTAAAACAAACAAGCATCGCCTCTATCAAGGGGTTCGAGTTCGCTCGTTAAATTAGTCTGATCGATCAAGACCAGGGCGGTGCAGCCACCATGGCCGTTGAATCTCTAAAAAGTCGTAGATTGGCTCCAAATGGCGACAACGGCCAACGGTAGACCCAGTCATCTTCTCCACGATCGTGTGCAAGCAATTACACATTTCACGATGAGTCAGGTCTTGGTCTTCTTGGCTTCGATGAGAGTGGCTTGTTCCTGCAGGGGATCTCCTCTTTGCGCATCCCCAATTGCGCTTGACGCTTCATTCGCATCCGCGATCTTGAACGTTTCTCTAGTTTCCAAGTTATCTCGTGGCCGCAGCTCTGGCTTCGCCTCCGCCAAATGTCCACGACGGTGGACCAGCGAACATCACCGTCGTGGTCCATCACAGGTTTCAGACCACAGATGGGGGCGCCCTCCAAAGATCCCAATCCCGCAGTTGGCAGCGGCGTTAATTCAACCGTGGCTGTCTTCCCACTCTCTGATGTGCTATCCAAAGTCCCATTGGCCTGGGGTCTTTGTTGCCTACCTCAACTGTGTGCGATGCTGGGGGCCATGAGTTGTTTCGCGCAGCGCGCATTTGTCTGGAGCTTGATGGGCACCGTTGTGTTTTTCCAGTTTCTAGTTTGCTGTCTTCTCGTCTGCGAATCTCGAATGTTGAAAATGCTTTTGAAACTATTTAAATGCTTGATCTCCCATAATTGAAGCCATTTTGATCTTTGCTATCATCATCTACATCTGCCTCTGCACTCAAGATACCCATAACAACCTACCAACCATCGCCAACCCAAGCAACACAGGTTCAAAGCAAAGACGGACCAACACCAACAACTCGCAAACCAACTCTCCAATAATCACAAACCAACAACAAGAACAGAAATGTCTTCTCCTGCCAGCGCCCAGTAAGAAACCTTTCCATCACTTCTCACGATGAGTTTGGCCGCTAACCATGACCGCTCTCACAGGTTCAGTAGCTCCAGTGGCTCAGGCTCCGTTTACACGGGTGGCCAGGCCACATCCACTAACAGCGCCATGCTCAACCAGTGGGCCGCCACACCAGACCGAGCTGAGCGCTTCTGGGCCACAGGAGAGAGGACGAGGAGGAGCGCGATGGAGCAGGCTGACAAGATTGTGGCTTTCGACACGGCCTTTACCAGAACGAGATCCTAGAGAGAGGATCTGATTGTGGCTGCGAATTATCTACCCATGGAAGCACGGCGTTTTGGTGTTGGGATTGGCTGAGGCCTCATTTGAGGCATTGTACAACAGGCGGATAACTATGGGTTGGGCATCATTGACCTCGGCATTTTCCCTCGATTCATTCAGTATACGATATCTGAATTGTAAATGAATTCTACCAAGTCATCAGACGAGCTGCAGCGCTACCAAGTACCATTGTGATCTTCATGTACTCCGCAAGCTGGGTATTGGTTGGTTCAGATGTGGCTGGCCCTGTGAGACGTGAAACGTGAGCAAACAGCTCAGCTCCTCAACCTGACCGCATCCTCGATTTTTCTATCTTACATTACTCTTTCTGTGAATTTCTCCATCAAAATCTGTCCTCATTGCATCGTTTTCAAGAGAATCTATCATCAACCCTTAGACTGGTAGGCACGATCAGCTGATTGCTGTTCTTGATAGCCTCCATCGCGGACCCTGCGCCGCACGGACCCTGGCTGTTGCCTGCCAATCTTCTTGGCAGCTGGAGCTGAACAGAATATCCGGTATTCATTTCCGGCCGTTCATCTCTAGACCTCTTCATCATCTTTTAGAAGGAAGCATTCGTTGTGCTGTCTTTAGCTTGACCGACAGCATCTGGCTGACTAGACTTGTCCTGTCTGCCAGCTTTTATCCCATCAACGAGCTTCCTACACATCCGGCATGCCTTCTCACGACGCTCCATCGTTGAGCGACGACAACGACGTCGTGGTTGTTGGCCGTGATGATGTCAGTAACTACAATCCTGACAACATACTCCCCGAATCTGAAGACACCATTGCCAAGATCAGACAGTGGCTGCGGCCTACCGAGTATAATCTCGATGGTAGCGAGTATCGCAAGCATCTCGCCTCACACCTCGCAAACACTGGAGAGTGGTTGCCACGCCTAGACGGATATAAGACCTGGCACAACAGTTCAGATCATGGCCTCTTGTGGATTAGGGGTGTTCCAGGTTCTGGCAAGTCTGTCATTGCGGCCACATTGGCACACAGGCTTTCCCAGGAAGATGTCCCGGTGCTCTACTTCTTCTTTCGTCAGATCATTGATGCCAATCACCGGCCTATCAATCTACTCAGAGACTGGCTTGACCAGATTCTACTCTACAGCC